GTGTGTGTGTGTGTGTGCGCGATCTCGCACATGTGGCTGGCGAACTGCTGCCTGCGTCGTCCCTTCCTTTCTTGCCACCCCCGCAATGGCTGGTGGGTCCAAGTAGCAAGCAGCGCCCCCCCCCCCCCCCCCCCCCGCCCCCGCGTGTTGATCAGGGCGGGCCTGCACCGCCCTCGCGCGTGTTAAGCTGAGGCCCCGGCCTCTGGGGCGCGAGAAGATCCGCCTGCCTCGCCCCCCCGCCTCCGGGCCCGGCCCGGTGAAAAGTGCTCGACTGTTGCCCAGCCATTGGTCGGGCCCACTAAATCCGGGCCTTTGTCCCGCCGCCCCCAGGCCCGGGACCGGGGGGGGGGGGGGGGGGGGGGGGGGAGGGAAAGAGTGTAGATCGAGGGGGTCCACGGAAGGTGCCACGAGCACGCCCTGCATCGCAGGAGCGCGAAGAGGCGCCCCACCTTGCCTGGCAGACAGGCGAGCAGCAGGGGGGGGGGGGGGGGGGGGGTGGGTGAAGTAGGGGATTGTCCCTGACACCCGGGGGACCTACACAGCCGAAGGTGCGGCCTCCGGGAGCCACCGTTGCCGCCAAAGGACAAAAGAGCACGCAGAAGAAGGCCGCCCCGCGTCCCGGGCGCCAGGTTGACAGATGTTTATGTGTGGCGGGCGTGGGCGTATGCCACCCCCCACTGCCGCCCCACCGCCCCGCTTCTCGGCAGGCTCTCCGCACCGGGGCCAGACCCACCATGAGGCAGTGCTGGCCACACTGCGGCCTCGTGCGGTGCACAAACTAGAACAGCCAAATGTCCCCTCATTACTTACATACGCAGGAGCACATCCTTCCCCCACCGAGGGGTGTGGGGAGGGCGCCAGCACTAAGGACATGGGGGGGCTGACTGGCAGGACGGCTGGAGCGCGAAACGCCCGGTCGCGTGATTCCCGACTCGTAACTGAGTTCCCGGGGAGGTTAACATCATTCTTACCATGCTCCTGGATTAACTGCATGTGTTGGGCCTGCTTTTCCTCCGCCACCCTCCCTCGAACGCACACACACACACACACACACACACACACACACACACACACACACACACACACACACACACACACACACACACACACACACACACACACACAA